TTCATTAGACTGCGTGGCCAAAAGATCAGGCAGGTTAATCTCTGCATTTTTATGTTTACTAATTGCTTTTAAATGTTGAGACTGAAGACGCTTCAAGATTTTATTTTCCACAGTAAATGTCTCCAGTTTATTCCGCACAACAGCCACTTCACTTTTCAGTTCTTTAATGTTGTGGTCTGTTGCTAACAATAGACGGGAAGCCACGTTATGGTCAGTCGTCAATGTGGTCTTCTGCTGATGTTTCTTTTTAGGCAATGTTTTACCTCCTACATTAAAGAAATATCAAGATGGCATATAAGATTTGAGCAAAGTAAGAATCACATTACCTTTACATAAGCTTCAGAGCCAAATCCTCAAAGAGATATTTACCACATGGATTTGCTTATTTTTATTGAGTCAATCTCTGATGCAACTATTTATTGATCAATCTATTGTAAAAATTATACCTGAACTCTCATAATATTAGCTTTCATAACTGCTATACTCACATACTATGCTAAAACAGTATTTAGACAACTTTACGTTGCATGGGCTTCTGTTCCTAGAACTCCTTAGTCATTCGTGCCTAAAGCAGGATTGCTAGGTCAGCACCCTAAGCACTATACAAAACTGCATAGACAGATGGATTGATAGATACACACACACACACACACAAATACACACCATATCTAAATACTGATAAAATACTGAAAGTAATGGAGTCAAAAAAAATGTAAGAGTGACCACTCAAATTTGCAAACTCCTTTTCTTTTTCTGGACCCCACTCCCCGTCCCTTAGTGTAATTATTGAAATCATGTGACACTGACATCTGTATGACCATGACAATGGTGAACTATTCCTGTCACCAATGACTGGTGAATTGTACCCATCAACACAACCCCTATAACCTGGAAGGAAGAATTACTGACCGAGAGTGTTCAAATCAATACAGTTTAAATACTTTTAATAACATTTGTGTGACTTCCAAAAATATAGTATACTTTCCGAAGTATAGAAGTGTCAGTCTACTCACAATAGTGTATTTATTGCACAACAGCTTCTTTTTCAGGAAAGGCCAAGCTGCAATTAGTTCGGTTGTAATCTGCCAACCACACTGAATGCAGGCGTGTTCTGTGTGACCAATGGCTTTCTTACCTTTTGCATGGAGATGGTTTTCTTTTTTCTTCTCTGGTAAGTTCCATTCTGTAGTTTCTGGCTGCTGGAGCAACGGAATGGTGAAGCTGCCACCCTCTTCGCTTGTGGGGGTTTCAGAGGAATCTGAGGAAAAATCGTGGTAATAGAAGTTTAGAGAAGTTCCACAGTTGTTCTCTTCTGAACAAATGCTGTTGCTGCTGCCACAACAGCTGTTCTTGAAACATTATCACTAAAGTCATTGGAGCAGTGAAGTTGAGCACTTCCAGACTGGCTGGAATTTTTGCTACAGTTACTGTCTTTACTGCTTTACTGTGTTTGTTGCTCTTACTAAGCCTACCTGGAGAATCGTTTGAGCTTCCACTTTTTCTACATTCTCCACGTGTCTTCTCCTCTTGGATGGTATAACGAAGGGATGTATCTGGAGAAACCATCATTCCACCAATGGCAGGGAAGGCTGTGAATAATACTTTAAATTTCCCAGAGGAAATGACACTGTAGTCAGACAAGGAAACAGTGTATGATGTCAACATTTAATTAAGGCTTCATCTAATACAGGTGTCAAACTCACAACGTCACGTGATGTGTCGCAACATATTGCAACTTTTTCCCATTGCCAGCAATGGGGTGGTTGTGGTTTCAGCATGACGCATCTGGTCCACAGGCTGGCATTTTGACACCCCTGATCTAATACGTTTAAAATTTGTTTGCTCTGATTCTGAACCAAAAAAGATCAGCACAATTTTGGTCCCTTGCATTATATTATTCACTTCTTAAACAATTAATGTTTATTATGCCTTCAGAGCCCTGAGTTCTTTCATGGAGCAAATAAGACTAAAATGATAGTATTACGTTTCACAGAATGCGTGGACTGACATTCAAATTAATGGATGAATGGAGTTGGAATTGACCGTAGAGGTCTTCTATCCCAATCCCTTGCTCAAGCTTTCATCCAGCTACTTTTGGAAAACATGATAGAGAGAAAAAGTGTGACTGATAAATGAAGATCAAAAAAGTAGCAAGTTATTCCTTGCTCATTCAGAAACTCCCCAATATTCAAGATTCACCTTCTTTCAATGGTGGGATTCAGCCAGTTTGCAGCTCTTTGGCAGAACCGGCACCGTTTTAAAAATAAGTACGTTTTAAAATGTGGTGTGGAAAAATGAAAATAGGTGCACAATGCCTTTTGGTTATCCCTACCTACCTGAAACCTCTTATTTCAGATGGGTTTGAGTTCTTTTGATCGGGGAGCAAAAACAGCCTTTGCATACAGCTATTCTGAATAAACAGACAAACAAGAGAAGCACTCCAGAAATGAGCAGGGCTTATTTCTAAGAGGAATTTTAGTTTGAAGGATAGTTTCTTAAGACCTACACGGCTTATAACACTCATTTTGTCCCCAGGCCCCCACCACAAAAATGAAAAATGAAGACTCTGGTTTTCTTACTTCATTCACTTGGGAGGAGATGTTGTTGAAGAAGTGGAAAAAAGCGTCTGGGAAGCTACCTATAGCTCAAGATCATTTGCAGAGATTAGTTTCCCTGTCTTGTTATCCACTTACCTTGGAGTAAGCCAATTGATTTTTAGAAGAAATTAAGGAGAGAAAAGTTGTATGTTACTTATGTATCATATATGCAACTGGCTTAAGGAAAAGAGAGGGGCAGAAAAGAGAATTAGTATTGAAAAATAACCTTGGATAATAAACGTAGGAACAAAAATGGGGATAAATATAGCAGTTTTAAAAATAAAAAAATAGTCTGAGGATTTTTGCAGGAAGAGAATGAAAAAGAAAAAAAGATTAGTCCCCATTGCTGAAATAAATTCATCTGTAAATAAGAAAATATGATCAAGGAAATTTTTAGAAAGACAAATGACAAAGCAGTTGGAAAGATGGTTCTGAGCCCAACATATATTTAAATATATATTTAAAACCAAATTAAAAACTAAAGAAGCAAAAAAATAGTTTCACTTCCTTTGAAAGAAATAACAAAAGTGTGAACAAACAAATGAAATGAGAAAAGAAAAAATCTAATTGAGGCAGAGATTGTGAATGCTCAGTTATCATGGATGAGAAATTAAGTGTAAAAAAGGTACATAAAATGGAAAAAAATCTGAGTCTAAGGGCTAAGTACCAAAATCTTCATGGTACGTTATTTAAACATGCAGATAACACATACAAACAGATAAAATAGAAAGGAGAAATGAAATGCATAAAAATAGTTTCTAAATATTCCTTTGTTGTACAACATTTATAAACATTAACATTTTGGGCTATTTCTGACTTCAGTTCTTTAGTCATTTAATTAAATATGGGTGACACAGAAGAATATATTATGAGAATCGCACAGTTTCAGCAAGCCACACAATTATGTGTCCGGATAATGCCTCAGTGGTACAAATGCCTACTTTGCTGACTGGAATCTGGACATAAGAGAAGTTGAGAGCACAATTCAACTTGGAGGGGAAACGTAGCTGCTCCATTTTTCATGTCCCTAGCAGGAGCTCTTCTACCAGTCCTTTATCTTCCACGTGTTTTTGCTTCCCTTTAACTGTTGCTATCTTTGCTTACCCACAACCCGAAACAAGCACTCCTCGATTGCCCAGAGAACAGAAATCAAAGTGCCCACTAAGCATCCAGGGTTTACACTGCCCTCCTACGATGCCAGGCAGAGACTTCTACCCGTGGTCCGTTTATTCACGTTACCCGGTTCTTGGGCTTCGTTGGCAGAGAAGTTGATGTTTAGATCTTTGCTACCATGGCAACTAGAGAAATTCTTCTCTGAGCATCATGGGACTTGTAAGGCAAAGTTGAATGGAAGGAAAAGGTAAGATGGCAGACGTTAAGGAGACGTTTTTATAACTCTGTCATCTCCAGTTTCCTTCCCGCTCCTCACTGCAGTCATTCAATAAATTATGTTTTTCTGCTGGGCGTAATACTCCTCAATCCTGGCCTATGAAACAACTCCTTTTTCCTGATTTAATCAAAAAGCAAACAGAATTAAACCCACTTTTTAAGAGCATTTTATAAATATTATAATTTTCCTTGGTAAATATCTATCCTATCAACCAAGCCCAAAAAAGTATGTAAAGATATGCATGCCAACTTTAGTGTAGGCTCCACCGAGTACAATGAAATTTGGTCTGGGTAAATTGATGGAGGGTATAAATTTATATATGATAGAAAGAATTGTAAAATGCATGTTAGGGGAACAAGTTTATTGGGACAATCTAAGATCATAAAATTGAGTTTTTTTTCAGAAGTGTTCATTTGGCAAGGTGAAAAATTGGAAGAAGAAAGGAGTTTTGGTCGATTTTTAGCAACCTCATCATTATCTGCCTGTAATCTGGTCCTTCAGCTCTTCAATGATGCACTCTTCACTCCAGTAACCGAGTCCATCCACTTTGCCGTGGGTCACCCTGTTCTTTTCCCTTCCACGTTTCCTTGCATTAGAACCTTCTCCAGAGGGCTTGGTCTTTCCATAATGTGTCCCAAGTGGGATAATTTGAGTCTGGTCATTGGTGCCTTGAGTGAAAACTCTGAGCTGGTTTATTTGATGATTGACTGATTTGTTCTCTTGGCTGACCATGGTTTTCTCAGGAGTTTTCTCCAATCCCAAAAGTAACTTTCTCTTCGGAAGATACCAGTTAGTGTTTAAGCTTTTAAACCTGCATTTAATTACAGACTTCAAACAAAAAGTCAGAGGACACTGATATAGTGTAATTTTAAATTGCAGTAAGATTTTTCCAAACAGGGCATTTTAAGTAAGCCATAGGAAAAGTTCCCTTTTCCATCCAGTTTTTAAGAAAAACACAACTAAGAAAACTAAAGGGTTTTTATATGAATGCTGTTGGTGACCATTACCTGTAATATGCTGCTAGGAAAAAATGAAGACAAAGTTGCTCCTTTAGCTAGCTGTCACCTTGAACCATAAGTTGGGTGGCAAATGAATAAGAATGATGATGTCCAGAAAGAGGATATGACAATTCTTGTAGACAGCAGAAAAGCAGAGAAAGAATTGGAGAAAATAACGAAATTGAAAGACCAGTAAACAGAATTAGAATTATTGTAGCAAAAGAGAGCAAAATTAATAGGTGGCTTGGATGCCATCCCAAAACAACTAGGACACCACTTAAATACCATCGGCACTGACAAAATCACCCTCAGTCAGTTGCCAAAGGCAGCTTTGCTTGGCACAGGTTCCATCCTGTGACAATACCTTTAACACTACCAAACACACATACTTGCCTACCCCAGGCCCTTCAGAAGGTCTTAGTAGGTGATAAAAAGCCACATCCAGTCTAACGTCTGACTGACTGTGTGCTGAAGCATAGTAATAACGCCTCTGCCATGTCCTTGAGAAGGACTGGATAGGTGGATGAAACTTTCAAATCCAGTCTGGACATCTGGCTGACTGTGCAACGAGCCACAATTCTACCAATGACATTTGAAATTATTATCTCTTCCAGCAAATAAGAAACTCCCAAAGAATTGAAGTGGGAAACCAAATGCAGCACATCTATGTCTCTAATTGCTGGATAACAATTTAAGAATCTGAATACAAATAGTGCATGTGCAAAATTGATGTTCCTCCTTGAGCAGGTTTTCTGTTAATTTCAATATCAAAGGAATCTTGGAGACTTGAGGATGGTGCCTGTAGGGAACGGTCCCTACTGCATACTGAATCAAGTCAGCTTAAAGCATTTCTTTATAGGGCTCTCCCAGAGCCCAGCTACGTTGTTCTAAGCAATGTAACTTGCACGTTACCTGGATTCTCTTATCACTGGCTTCCAATTTTTGGGTATATGATGTTAATTGTCTTCAGAAAATTTCTGCAACACCCGCAAGGCGTCCCTTCTTTGTAAGAGTTCTGCCTGAACCTCTCTCAGCTTCTTCCTGAGATGTCCTGAGAAGTGATCTCAGAGTCAGCACTTTATTAGACTGCGTGACCAAAAGATCAGGCAGGTTAATCTGTGCATTTTCATATTTACTGATTGCTCTTAAATGTTGAGACTGAAGATGCTTCAAGATTTTATATTCCACAGTAAATGTCTCCAATTTATTCCGCAGAACAGCAACTTCATTTTTTAGTTCTTTAATGTCATGATCTCTTGCTGACAATAGATGGCAAGCCATGTTATGGTCAGTCATAAATGTGGTCTTCTGCTGAGGTTTCTTTTTAGGCAATGTTTTACCTCCTACATTAAAGAAATATCATGATGGCATATAAGATTGAGCAAAGTAAGAATCTCATAACTTTACCTAAGCTTCAGACCCAAATCCTCAAACAGATATTTACCTCATGGATTCTCTTATTTTTATTGAGTCAATCTCTGATGCAACTATTGATTGATCGATCTATTGTGAAAAATTATATCTGAACTCTCATAATATTAGCTTTTATAACTGCTATACTCACGTACTATGCTAAAACAGTATTTAGACAACTTTAGGTTGCATGGACCTCAGCTCCTAGAACTCCTTAGTCATTCGTGCCTAAAGCAGGATTGTTAGGCCAGCACCCTAAGCACTGTACAAAACTGCCTAGACATATGGATTGATACACACACACACACACACACACACACACACACACACACACACACACAAACATTCACACCATATATAAATGCTGACAAAACACTGAAAGTAATGGACTCAAAATAATGTAAGAGTGACCACTCAAATTTGCACACTCCTTTTCTTTTTTTGGACCCCATTCCCTGTCCCTTAGTGTAATTATTGAAACCATGTGACACTGACACCTGTATGACCATGACAATGGTGAACTATTCCCGTCACCAAAAACTGGTGAATTGAACCCATCAACACAACCCCCATTACTTAAAGTGTAGAATTACTGACCAAGAGTGTTCAAAGCAAAACATTAATATATTAATCAACCATATGCAGTTTAACTATTTAAACTATTTAACTAGATTTGTGTGACTCTCAAAAATATAGTATACTTTCTACAATCTAGAAGTGTCAGGCTAGCTCGCAAAAGTAGTGTTATAGCACAACTGCTTCCTTTTCAGGAAAGGTGTGTTCTGTGTGACCGGTGGCCTTCTTACCTTTTGCATGGAGATGGTTTCCCTTTTTCTTCTCTGGTAAATTCTGTTCTGTAGTTTCTGGCTGCTGGAACAATGAAATAATGAAGCTGCCACCCTCTTTGCTTGTGGAGGTTTCAGACATATCTGAGGGAAAATTGTGGTAATAGAAGTTTAGAGAAGTTCCAGAGTTGTTCTCTTCTGAACAAATGCTGTTGTTGCTGCCATGACAGCCGTTCTTGAAGCATTATCACTAAAGTCATTGGAACAGTGAAATTGAGCACTTCCAGACTGGCTGGAACTTTTGCTACAGTTACTGCCTTTACTGATTTTGGTCTTCTTACTATGCCTACCTGGAGAATCGCTTGAGCTTCCACTTTTTCTACATTATCCACATGTCTTCTCCTCTTTGAGGGTATGATGAAGGGATGCATCATCAGAAGCCATCGTTCCCCCAATGGCAGGGAAGACTGTGAATTATACTTTATATTTCCCAAACAAAATGGCACTGAAGTCAGACAAGGAAACAATGTATGATGTCAAGATTTTTTTAAGGCTTCATCTAACCCGTTTAAAAGTTATTTGCTCTGATTCTGTACCAAAAAAGATCAGCACAATTTTGGTCCCTTGCATTATATTATTCACTTCTTAAAGAATTGATGTGTTTATTATGCCTCCAGAGCCCTGAGTTCTTTCACGGAGCAAAAAAGACTAAAATAATAGTATTACATTTCACAGAATGCCTGGACTGATATTCAAATAATAGAAAAAAGGGACCTTAGAGGTCTTCTATCCCAATCCCTTGCTCAAGCTTTCAGCCAGCTACTTTTGGAAAACATAATAGAGAGAAAAGGTGTTCTTGATAAATCAAGGTCAAAAAAGTAGCAAGTTATTCCTTGCTCATTCAGAAACTCCCCAACATTCAAGATTATCCTTTTTTCTACACATTTTAAAAACTTGTACATGCAGATAACACACACAAACAGACAAAATAGAAAGGAGAAATGAAATGCATAAAAATTAGTTTCTAAATATTCCTTTGTTGTACAATATTTATAAACATTAACATTTTGGGCTATTTCTGATTTCAGTTCTTTAGTCATTTAATTAAATACGAGTGACATAGGAAAATGTATTATGAGAATCGCACGGTTTCAGCGAGTAACACAATAATGTCCACGGATAATGCTTCAGGGGTACAAATGCCTGCTTTGCTGACTGGAAGCTGGACATAACAGAAGTTGACAGCACAATTCAACTTGGAGGGGGAAAGTGGCTGCTCCATTTTCCATGTCCCTAGGAGGAGCTCTTCTACCAGGCCTTTATCTTCCATGTGTTTTTGCTTCCCCTTAACTGTTGCTATCTTTGCTTATCCACAACCCGAAACAAGCACTCCTCGTGCGCAACCACAAAAACACTCTACTAGTAGATTACCTAAGCCCATACTTGGGGTGCCTCAGCCTCTGGCTGACTCAAGTTTCAGGTGAGGACAGGTAGACACATGCTTAAAGAAGATTGACTGGAATGTCCTCCTATCAGGAGAGCCCAAGAAAGATGTCAATGTCTTCTGAAGAATAGACATTACTTACAGTAACACAGAGCACTTATGATAAAAGCATTATGCCACTATATTTGAATTCTTAAGCAAAAGGTATGCTTTGTGATTTTTATGGTTCAACATTTATAGTCATTTTATGTTTTTACTCCCATGAATGTCCTATTTGAAATGATGTGCACTGCTGATTTTTCAGGCAGATGAACTCGTGTTTCACGTTCAGTCTTTTTATCCATTTTACATACCGTATATTCTGGCGTATAAGACGACTTTTGAGAGCGATGAAACAGCCTCCGAACTCGGGGGTCGTCTTATACGCCGAGTCGTCTTATACGCCGGAAATAAGGTAGTTTCTGGCGTATAAGACGACTTTCTAGGCATGCGACTCGGCGTCGATCATCTTATGCGCCGGAAATAACGTTATTTCCGGCGTATAAGACAATCGATGCCAAGTCGCATGCCTAAAAAGTCGTCTTATACGCCGGAAATAACGTTATTTCCGGCGTATAAGACGACTTTCTAGGCATGTGACTCGGCGTCGATCATCTTATGCGCTGGAAATAACGTTATTTCCGGCGTATAAGATGATCGACGCCGAGTCGCATGCCTAGAAAGTCGTCTTATATGCGACTCGGCAGCGATCATCTTCCGACTTGGCGTGATCGTCTTGCGACCCGGCGTCGAACTTGGGGGTCATCTTATACGCCGGGTCACCCTATACGCCGGAATATACGGTAATTATTCTGCATCTATGTTGTCTCTCAATTCCTAAAAGATCACAGAAAAAAAGCAAATATATATATAAATGCATGTTAACTTTTACCTGAGTAAGTGATAAAGTGTCATTAAATCTCCATTAATATCCTCCCTTCCACATCAATTGCAGGCTTATTTATAGTCATCATCCTTTGTTTCGTTTTATTCCATCTAATAAAATCTCTCTCTTAACTCTCCCAATATTGTATTAACATAGATTAAAATGATAATCCAATTTAGGACAACATAAATAAATAAGGGCTTTATTTTATTTATTTGGTAGATTTATATCTCACGTTTTCTCTAAGGTTTAAATATCCCCTCCAACATTGCATTACAATAAAAACTCAATGTTATTTGATTGATAGCCATTAAAGCAAAGTTACATAAGGTATTGCTACTGAAGTTGGACTTGAACCTAGAACTCCCTTGTCCTAGTCAGCATTTCAATTAAGACCAGGGAACCCAAGAGCCATTGGGTCATTGTTTCAGAGATGTCACCTTACCGGATTCCTCAATGCCTTCAACAGTAGCAGAGCTTCTATTGTACTGTCTACACTAGAAAAGTTGTTAAAAATTCAGGCTGATATTCAGAGATGTCTCAGCCTTGAAAATAGGCATGTTGAACTGTACAGCATGGTCAAAGATCGGCAGTTGACCAAAGGAAATATTCTGTGACATGTTGCATTATGTTCTAAAATATCTTAAGATAATTTTATATTATAAAATACTTTATAAAATTTGCACAATTTCAATTCCACAGAAGACATGGATTCTGGATTTTGGACCGTAAGTAAACCCATTTCAGGTATCTTGGTACAAAAATGATTGCCCTATAATGCACTGTTTTCCCAATTAAAACTTTCACAGAGACAAACTGGAGAGCTTTAATAGTATATAGATATCACTCTGACTACCTTCATAAACAGAGTCCCCAAGACCTTGTTTAAAAGAAAACACATAGATATAAAGGAAGAAAAACAGCAACGAATCCTAGCACAATACGGAGAAGCCTGTATGGATCTAAGACAAGCCAGAAAAGAGAGAGAAAGAGTGCTGCAGGAATCTTTTATTTATTTATTTAGTACATTTATAAAGCTGTCCATCTCATGCATGTGACTAGGCAAAACACAATATTCAGACAAAACCATTATAATGAATTAAAACTGTTATGTATTGATATCAGGAGTTAATGTATTTTAGTTTAAACGTACCTCTAACTGTTTTGGAGGGAAAAGTTAAGTTCAAGTTTGAATGGGAAAACACCGTTTGAATTGATTGGTCGCCGCCTAGAGGCAGCAAGTATAAATAGCCGTCATTCTGCTGGTTAAGTCAGTTCTGTTTTCTGTTGCAATAAATCTTGTTGTATTCACCCGATCTGGTTAATGCCTTCCAAAACCCACTACACAGTAAAAACAATTTAAAAACCTTAAATATAATCAAAGCCTTTGGAGAGTTAATTCAAAATCCTACACATAACAGTGCCATTTGCAGTTCCCTATTTCTGTAGGATCACCAAGCCTGCTGACAAAACCATATTTTAAGGGATTTCCAACAGTTAATAGACTCAGAACTGCCATCTTCCCACCTCCTGAAAAAGATGACAGCTACACCAAAACCTTCCCTGAACTTCCTCACTGGGCATGCAAGTGGATGAGAAATAGTTTTGTTTGGAGAATTGCTTTGACTTTTTTTATAGCTGGCTTTGTCTTGGCATGTTGGCTGAAGTAGCCATTATATCTTCAGCAAACCATACACAGAAACAAACTGGGTGATTTGGGGCTAATCACCCTCTGTCTACTCTAGGAAGAAGGCATGTGGTAGTGGAAAGGCTGTTCCTGGGGGGGATGAGTGAAAAACACCCAGAGTCTCTACTTCCAGCAAGGTCACATCATCTCAGCTGCTCAGAGGAAGCAAGCCAGAAACTACAGGTATTTGTTACACAAGTGTGCTCTCACGCTCAGGTTATTGTCACTCACACCCTCATATCCCTGGAAAATTGGCACACTCAAACCAGTTTCAACTGAACTCTGAGGCACAAATGGCTCTTTAAAATACACAGAGACCCAGTGAATTAAAAATAACAGCAGACTTTGACTGATTATGAAGTAGATCTATTTGGTCTTACACACATGCACACAAAAACACACTCATCCGTACTTACCCCACATCCACAACTAGGCTGCTTGACATTAGCCAGAGGGACAGAAGCTGCCAAATCCTGATCCAAAAATGACCCCAAAGTCTGGGCAGGCCTCAGGACCTCTTTTGATCCCTCAGTGTTGATGGGAGAGGCTTCCCATGCAGGCCCAACTCCTTGGTTGCCAAATGTGGGGAGGGGCTTGCTATGTGCTTAGGCCAAACTTTTGTTCTTTCCTTCATGCCTTGGTTCTTTTTCCTGGCTTTTCTCTACCCTGCTTACATGCATTCACTGTTAGTTCTGGTGGCTTCGGCCTAGGCTGACATATTGCTCACTTAACAAACAGTTGCTTTGCATTCAGAGATCTGATGCTCCTCCCAAATTACTTACAGCCCAATTTCAGAGTTCTGATGCTGTTTCCCCCCACACTGTCACATAACTCTCTTTAAGGCCAATTACAGTGTATTTTCCAAGAAACCGGACTTTGGGGCAGGTTTCTGCCAACAAAATGGCCGTAAGAAAGCATTGGCTTGCTTAACAAATACAGTGTTTAATGATCGCATCATTTGCTTTATAACTGGGCCTTCACTTCAGAAACATTTCAAAAAAGGTTGTAAAATCAGGTTGGTAACATGGGTCCCTTGATTTATGACCATCATAACCTATGATGGAAATTCTGAGCTCCATTGAATCATAATTTGAGGACTGTGTATATTGGATAGCAGCAGCATCATAGGACAATGTTAGATAATCCCTTCAGTGGCAATGGCATGGGGATTCTTTTATACCACCTGGGACAAGGCAATGGTAAACCACTTCTGTATTTCATTCAAAATGCAGAGATAGACAAAGGGGTGAAAAATGGTTATATGCACTCTTCTTATTAATTCAACCTATATGTTGAAAGCATACAGGGGAGGTGGGATTGAGAAAAAAATAATTGTGGCTTTAAATTTGGAGGAAGAAACAGCAATAATGTGATCTTGAACTATATGTACCTCTAGTGGGATGGGCAGCTATAGTATATAAATTTAAGAAATAAATATATAAATTTGCCTGATATTAACACTTTTTGCTTCAAAATACACAATTTAACTCATTTGTATAATGACAGCATGGCATGAAGTAATAGTTTCATTTCCACAGCCAGACTTTGGGGTATACCAAATTAAAAGGCTCTAGAAGTCATCAAAATATAAGGCATTTTATCCTGTAACAAAGGACTTTTGAATTTAGTGGGATTTGTTAGTAAATATCCATAAAACTCTTCTCCCCTTATCTCTCATATCTAGTGAAAATGATGAGAATCAGCACTGATAACTATTAAATAATGAGCTCACAAAATTAGTATTGCCGTTTAAAAAAAGAAAATAGAGCAGTGATTTGAAATATTTTTTGACAAATAATATAATTATCATATTTGTTATTTAACAATAAAGTATGAAACAAACTTTCTGCTACATTCTGGAGAAGAACATGAATCACCTTTCTCTGGCTTATCTTTACTCATCCGATGTGCATAAATATTTGTTATGCTGAGTTCTCATTCTTTTTCCTACAAAATGCATTATTAAATTTATGTTGATAATATAGTTTATTGTATTGATGTCAGTTCTGCAGAGATCATACATTTCACTGCATAACTCCCCCCAGTATCTCATTTTATTTATCTGTATTTTAAATTATTTGCTTATGTATAATT